GGTTGAGTTGTGATTCTTGCTGATCATTTCTCTGTCTTTCAGTGTTCAACATTGCCTTTAGTTCCTTGATTTCCTGGACGCATGACATAAGAAGAGTTTCGTGGCGGTCCAGTCTCTGTTCTACTGAAGACTTGTGTGTTGTGGACATCACATGTGATGTGGGGCTACAGTGATCGACTAAAATATCGGCAACTTCCGCCAGGGCTTCCGGACCAAGATGGCGAGAAACTATTAATTGTGGCCGAATATGGTGTGGCAGGCGTTCTGACCACAATTTAATTATGATGTCTTCACTGACCTCTCCCTTAGCCAAATTCATCATTTCTCGTAGGAGCTGTGATGGTTTCTTCTCTCCTAGAGTTAAGTTTTTTAATAGCTTGTCAATTTGCTTACCTCTAGATTCAGACATTCTGCTTAATATAGTGTTTTTGATATATTCGTATTTGCCTGTCATTGGTGGATTACGGAGGACATCCTGGATGAGGCGCAGTGTCTCGAAGTCTAGGGCTTTGAGTACTGCTGTGTACTTAGTATTGTCACTCCTGATCCTAGCAGACTGAAACTCATGTTCAATAACTAAAAACCATAGGTCTGGAGAATCTCCATTGAATGGAGTGAGACGGTGATTGTTAAATGCTGCTATATTGTATTGATCAGCATAACTGTCATGTTCATGTTCAGAAACACGAGGACTGCTCGTGTTAAAGATCGCCTCGTGATCCAGATCGATCAGAGATCTGTTGAGCGCTGTTTCGTCATTGACGGACGTAGATCGAGTCGACATGTTGATAAAAATTGGTATAATTTACCTTTATTAATTTACTTGTATTTGACAAGTGTTTTTCTTTCTCCGTCTGACGTCACCAATTATGGGTACTAAGACGTTGAGAATGTCTCTTGCTTAATGATTTCACTTACACGTTCGGAGTCACCAATTATGGCGCTGGTGGGCCATATATTATTAATTAATTAATTCTTGAATGAAATCGCAATAATTTTATTTCAACTCGATAATGACTGTTTATTAATGTCTCAATTGATAAAGATGTTGATATTACATTAAATCAAATCTAAATTTCGATCACGAGAAAACGCTCGTTGGCAAAAAACTCGATACAATATTTTCGATCGTTTTAAAAGGCGCGACAATAATATTCGATCGTATAAAAACAATCAGATCGTTATAGCTTGCTTGATGCCAGATCCGAATCAACGTAGCCCAATATAATTTAGTTTTGTCATCAATTGACGTTACTCAACTGACATCTGTCATATGGTGTTCATTCCGCCATTGTCATCAATTGACGTCCTTCAACTTCATATGGTGTTCATTCCGCCATATATATATATATATATATATTACTCAAAATGTGTATCAGTAGGTATATGTATTGGCTATATCTGCTTCGTATCTTATTTTGTCAGAAATTACATTGCTTTTGCTTTTTACATTTTTTGTAGTAGATATGTAAATATATATATATATATATATTATTTATATATATATATATATATATATATATAATTGTAGTAACTTGTTCAGATAATTCAAGACGTTTACATTATTATACTGTTAGTTTTGAAGGAATTTATCTCGCTATACTCAATAATAAAAATATGATCAAGATTTCCACAGAACTGAATCGGTATTCTGCTAATGCTAAAATCTGATCAAGGAATTATATTCATACATGCATAGATATATTATTGATTTACTCATTATTGTATCTTAAATCCGACTTCGGTATCGCAGTTGAAATAAATCTGAAGGAATTACCAGTTAATCTGCAGAATATATTCAATCGGAATATATATTATATTCAACCAAAATGCACATGTGCGCATAGTAAATTCTATAATAGTACGGTAAATTTAGTTACTTTACAAATTTATTATGCGTTTGAACAATTTATCATAATATTATGTCTTGTTACACTTTGATTTTTTTAACAAAGCATAATTTTTCATTTAAAAATATAAGATTTCGGAATAAAATATTTATTGCCTACTGTTAATTTTTTTTTCTGTTATGTTAAACATTCTTAAAAATGCCAAATTGTCGTACTGTTAGCACATTATAGAACAACTGTCGTCTGTCGTCTGTCGTAATCTTATATCAAATATCTAGTTAGAATTTTCGTTATTGTAAATAATTACAGTAGTACCACAGATAAAATATAAATGACTTATCAAGATAAGAAATGAATATAAAATATTGTTATATACTTTGCCGATTACTTAGAATATTTTCGTTATTAAAACCAAGATTTTTTTCGATAAGTCATTGTTTAAACATAAATTTCAGCTAGCAATTACTTGGAAGTTTTTCATACTCACTATCAAAAATAATATAGAGGCTATTCTTATTAATATAGGTCTATTATGTTACAAGTCTCTTTTGTTGAATAATCACATGAGTTTGTAGTCACAAACGTTCAAAAACCTGCGCCTTTGCTATTAGATCAAGCGTTTTACACAATATTAACTTCTAAAACTTACCATTCCAAATGGCACAAATGTCTAATAACAAAGTTATCATCAGTGTAAATTTTTTGTTGTCACTCATAACACATGCGTGAAGTTACTTAACCAAACTTGTATTGAGATATTTGTGTCATTTTGAGTTTATCTTAGTTTAGCAATATCAATTTCCTTATTAACACACTTTCGGCGGATAGGATTTCAGGCTAACTTGTACCCGTAGCGGGGTTTTCACAACGGTGCGAATGCGTAAGCATGGCATGAAAGCACAGTCTTTTACTTACAATACTTACTGCCTAAATTCATACGCAGTAGTAAATACTATAATATTAAGTTATTATGAGGTAAAACTATCAATACTGAAGGTAAAACATTTGCAAATAAAGTTGAATATTATTACGCAATGATACATATGTTTAGTGTTTAGACAATAAAATTAAAAATGTAATTAATTCTAAAAATTTAAAACAAAATGCACAGAAAAATTTTCTATACGTTTTCTTACGTAATTACTCACAAGTTTAGTCTCTGAAATACAAAAATAAATTTAATCATAAAAATCAATCAAAATACACAGAAAAGTTTGTTATAGGTAGGTTTTTTACACGAGTATACACTACACATTTTTACGCAATAAGTTTAGAATTGGAGAAATCATTTGGACTATTCTTTTTGAAGAATTGTAACAAAACTTCTTGGCGTCTTCTAAATATTGTCTCTCCTCTTTTAAGTTTCAAATTTTTAAGTTCTTCAGGAAGGCCCCTGTTTGTTCTTATAGTCCCACAAATCCTAGTTTTATTTTGTGGTAATAATAAACTTTTATTTAAACTATTATAAAAATTGTCCATGTATACATGATGCCACAAATTTAAATAAGGTTCTAATATATCTAATATAGTTGTCTGTAAACTATTGCCATTTCCATAGTAAATTTTTAAATTGCATATGTAGCCTGACTTTGCTTCGCAAGCCATTCTAATCAGAATACCATATTTTACTATTTTTGCTTAAATGCTTGTTTTAAATATGATAAATATTTTTAATTAGATTAGATTTTAAATATAAATTTGAAGATTTATTTAGGTAATAGGAAGTAACAGGTTATTAAATACATTTAATTCCGTTGAATTCTTTCAAATAAAAGAAATTGGATAATAAAATACGAGAAATATGATATCATACATTTTCAAATTACCTGTAATCCAAGCACAATTGAAAAACATTGCGAAAATTCGTCATTCAACAGTAAATTAATGAATTAGTTTTATTACTCGCCGGATACTGTATTTGATAAAATTACCTGTTGCCAGGTACGTAAATAAGACAAAGTAATTCCATTCTCCAATCATGTATAAAGTACCTATATCACTTATAATCATACTATATACAATCTAGAGTTTTACGTTGAAAATTCGATTATTTTTAATATTGTACGAAATTAATTTTTATGGTGTATAAATTAGTGACAAACCTAATAGTTAATTACATAAATAATAATATGATTTTATAAGCTACGTTCGATTGCTTGTAAAAATGTAATAGCTTATTTTTAACATTGTTTTTGAATTTTAAATTATATGAATTATCGAAACGCAATAAATACAAAGATAGCAAAATATTTATGTAACATATACGTATTTACGTATCGAAAATAATTTTGAAGAATAAATTATAATTTTATTATAGTTTTATAATAAATATAAAACTAGCGTTGCAACCGCTCATAGTAATAAATTTCGTTCGCTCTTCGCATCTAGCGTTTCCGACCGAGTACCCGAAAATACCCGCACCCGCAGTTGAATGACAATCCTAAAATCGAGTACCAGTACCCGCACCGCCGAAAGTGTGTTAACTTGATCCTAATAGTGTTTTCTAAAAGATGCGGCTTATATAATTGTCTGATTGTATTCGTATTATATTTTATCGTTTATCATGTCTATGTCGGCTTCTTCATGTATTAGCAAATTCGGTACATACTTTGGAACATTCAACCATTTTTGAAGTAATTCATTTTATATTACGTCGAAATTAGTCAATATTCGAAATGTCAATGGCCAGTCAATTTCGTATTTTTGAAGTCATTTCTTCTTCTGCAGTGTTACTTGTTGCTCATATCAAGACTGGTAAAAGTTATTGTATATTAAAAAAAAAGCTTTTTGACAGTTTTTATCTACCAATTCAACTGAATAGGCTGGTAACATACTACGATTAGTTTATGCAAAAATAATCATACTTTAAACTCACGTTTTAAAAATCAAGATTTATTTTAAATAGCCATTGTTTCAGAAAGCGATTACTTTACGGTTTTTCATACTTTGATGTCAAAGTTCCCAACTCCTATAATTACCAAATGCCTTACAATCGTCGAAGGTTACTCGTGTAAACTTAATATGTTCCAAAGCAATTTACAAGACTTTGTTTACCACCACCCCGCGGCCCATTTTACACAGGAAAGTTTACGTTTAAGTATACACATTCTAATAAGGCAGTGCATTTAATTAATCGTACGTCTTCCACAGGTGTCGTTCGGTTCAACATCGCCTGCTTTGAGTGACAGACGAGAGTTCCCTCTGTTTTATCGCACGGTGGCCCCCGACTCGTCTCACAATCCTGCCCGCATCGCCTTCATAAGGCGCTTCGGATGGGACACGGTGAGCGCCTTCTCGCAGAACGAAGAGGTGCACGCGCTCGCCGTCAACGACCTGGTCACCGAGCTGGAGAGGTCGAACATCACCTGCGCCGCCACAATCACATTCGCCGAGTCCGATTTCAAGGACAGACTTAGGCTGCTGAGGGTAAGAAAACAATGAAAAATTGGCTTAGGGGTGAATTCTGCCAAAAAATACACTAATGTTATGGCAAGGTTTCCTACAAAATAGTACTAAATTCTTTCAAAAGCTATGTCAATACTCTGCGGTCAGACGTTTTGGAATACTTAACCTAGAATATGCACAAATGTTCAAAGTACTGCACTGATGTCATGATACTGCAAACTTTTTGTGGTTTATTTATTTATTTATTTATTTATTCATAAGCAAGCCGTAATCAATAATAATAGATGTTATTTCAGGCTCTTGACACACTTATTCATAATTAATATTAAACGGACTGAAAAACAGAGCTGAAAAAAAGCATTCAAACATTAAATACAATGTTCATCATCAAGTTCATGATATTAAAATCTATTTGACCACCAGTCAAGCTCAAGGTTGGAAGTTGTACTCATTTAAAACCTTAAAAAATTTAAATTAATAAAATAGCAATTTAAAAAAATTAAAAAAAATATGGTTGTACAGGCGATCAAATGGTCAGACTACAAAGATAAAGGATAAGGATGCAAGAAAATAGTTGTTGAAATCAAATTGAGAAAATTCAGTAATGTCATAAAAAGCTAATTTTTTAAAAATTTGACTAAGAAAGCATGAAATTTTTTGCTGTCTAAGTTTCGGATATTGAGTGTAAGTTTATTAATAAGCTGAATACCTAAACCGTCGATCGTATTGAAAGAGCTGCTAATTTATATGTGTGCGCCTTAATAAGTTTGTGTCTGGTGTTGTAGTTTGAGCAGGACGAAGCCATATCAAAAGGTTTCGAATTGTTTTTGATGAAAGATAATGTTACCAGCAGAAAAAGGTTTGACATAACATATGAGTAAAGTTGCATTTTTGTGTAAAACTCCTGATAGCGCAACAAATGCGCGACATTTTGACAATGTTTAGCACCATTTCGTATGAAAACTGCTACGACACATAGCCTTGCCATAACATTGATCTGTTTTACGGCAGAATCGGCCCCTTAATTTGATTAGATTACCTAAGCATTAACCCTTAAAAGACCATAGGAGATTCTACGAAACTGGGTCAAATAAAAAAGATTTTTTCAATATTACTACAATTCTTGTTGCTATATTGCGAATAACACGCAAAGTATGCCAAGCTCACATCTGGGTAGAACGACTGGATTGAATCAGAGGTCCTGGCTTTGATCCCTCTTCGAGAAGCCTGATGTCAAGCACTAGTGACATCCGTTTTTACTTGGTAATATAAATAGCAATATGTTTCCAAGAAAAAATAGCCTACTAGTGACATCAGGCATTGCTGTATCAATAAAAACATACGATCTTTTACAGAAATTGTAATAATAAAAACCATCACACAGAGATGAAGCAATTGTTTGGGTTGCAATATGTGAAACCGACGTAGTATTAAGTCAAATTAGCCTTATATGACTTAAAAGTTCTGATTGCCATTCAAAACCAAAAATCAAACCTATGCCCGAATTCATTCTGCGTTCATATGTCTCGTTTTACTTTTGTGTACTTTCATTTTTATGATATTTGAATATAAGTGCAGTATTGTTTTGAAATTTCAAGGAAGCGTTCACTAGTTTAGTTCATGATTATCAAAAATACTTCAGTTAATATAGTCTTAGGCTGCTCAGGGAGAAATTTAATTGTAGTTGTTTATCAAAGTTATACTAACCTAACTTACATTTATTGAGAATTACAATTGTGCAGGACGAGTAAATCAACTGCAAAAAACCTAAAAATCTTAATGTTGTGCAAGTTTTTTGAGATTTATCATTGGTGCCCTGAGTAAAGTACCACGTTTTTTATTCTCATCCTCACATTGAATAAATATACCTTTTCTTCTTTTTTTTCTATTTTATCTTTTTTATATTGTCCGATAATTTTTTATTTCCATACATTTTGTTGGTTATTTGCATTCTCTTTTGTTTTCAGTTACATGTTATTAACTAACATTCTATGATAATTACTTATTACAAAAAAATGCAATGTAGGAGCTTTCTCAATAATTTTTGAATGCTAATATTTACGAATAATTGCAATAGTTATTTCTAAAACTAAATTTTTGCTTTTCTATAGTATTATTTTCATAGTCTGATTTAAATTCATCAGATTAAAATTTTAAATTAATACACAATAGTGCTTACATAACATAAATAAAAAATCTCACTGATTGAATTAAAGTGTGTATGAATCTCACCTAACCAATTTTTCATGCCCTCGGAAAACATCTTATTTTTATGTTTCAAATTTGTTAAAAAAAAATCCATTTAGCTTTAAAACTGATAACTTTCTAATTTTCATGAAGAATTTTATTAATTTTATGAAGGAAACTATTCGAAATTTTCATAAATACAGTTTTAACATTGAGCTTAATTTTTATATAAAATTTTATTAAAAAATCTTTCATGTTCTTTGAAAAATACTACAAAGCATACATACATTATATCTAAAATTGTATGAAGCTTTCAAGTTTTTCGCTCGTATGTATATTACCAAATTTAAATTTGTATTTTTACAATATACATATTCTTATTTGAATTTTGATTTATGAAATAAAATTGAATTAAAATTATAATCACTTATATTTAATGATTACATATATGCCCATTTAACAGTCATTCAATAACTAAGCAATACGTCCGAATTTAAATTTAATTGCTGTAATTACTCACACGAGCATATACTGAAATGAAATTACGACCAGCAGCAATTAATTAATGGATTTCAATTTAGGCAATTTTAGCATACAATGTTATAATAATTTGATTGCGTATAAACGTACATACATATTAAATTACATTAATATTCTATCGCCAGGACGAATTCATAAAATGCACATTTTTCATCAAGGTACATTTTAAGAATAGAATTTAATTTCATTGTTCATAAAAAACGTATTCATAATTCCTAAGTAATTCTCGGTCTTTGATGTTATGCGTAAATCTTTACCATCGAATTCTCTCAGACGACAGCTTAATTCAATTGTACAAACTCAATTTTGTTAGATTGTAATCTTAAAAATTATTCTCTTTCTTTAGAAAGCTTGAATAGATAGAAATATTGTAAAAAATCTCTTAAGAATTTTATCTCTTGCGTGGAATTATATGATACAAAAAGTACTTTTATTTTACAATCTGTAATGTGATTAAATTAGTTACAATTTATCCCAAAAGTATTGGTATGAACATAAGGTAATATTTAAATAAAAATGCTATATATATATATACTAAGGTTTATACAAAAACCGACATTTCAGAAAATCGGTTTTCCAATTTTAATTTTACTAAAAACCGGTTTTCGAATTTCATATGGAAAATAAATTTTTGTTCGAATATTCTGTAATTTATCCGCAAATTTAGTGTAATTTAGAGCAGTATTTGACTCAATTTATTTATTGTTCAATTTTATACATAGTAAACAAAATTATTTTAATTTTAATTAGTAGAACTAAAAAATAATAGTTTATCTTGATTAAATAACTTTGAAAATAATTATTCGTTATACATACGCCATTTTTACATATAAGAATGAATATAATTTTATGATAGTGAAAAGAAAGTTTTAGAATAAATGAAAATAATACATTTTTAAATAAAAAAAATGCATTAAATTAAAAAAAAAATGTTTGATACATGTTGATACATACTTGTTAATATCAATTTCAGTTTTAAAAACAATTAAGCTAAACTCGGGTATTGTCTGTTCCGAGCAATTTTATTTAATTAATTTTAAACATTCTATTTGTTTTTTTTTTTTTTAATAAAACATGATTTCAAAAACTAAGAACGTATATCGAATAGCAACTTAGACGTGTCCTTTGCTTACTCACAAAATTTTCTGAAATGGAAAATACTCTCATACTTGCGACCAAATTATGCTTAATTGTTTTTAAAGCCTGATATAATAATTCTAATTTTTTTGTTCTGCAATTTGTGGCTTCTAGGATTTAAAATTCTTCTTTAAGATTGAGTAGAGAAAGTTACTTATTCAATAAGAAGTCACACTGATTTAAATTAATATACACACTGGTATAAAAATCTAAATTAATATATGCAAAATCTTTCTGGGAACCATTTCATACTGATAAGATATAAAATGCTATTGAACCGATATGGTTTCAAGAATCAAATCGCTTTCATCTATCTTTTATATTTGGCTATATTTGTCGTTTTCCATTTATACAGTGAAAACCGACTTTTTTCACTAAAAAACCGGTGTTTGAAAACCGATAAACCCTAATATATACCCGTGAACTGAGTAACTCCAACTCAGTACCCGAAATGTGTTATTTTCAATGGTGAAAATATTTTTTTGACTTAAGTAAAAATGAGCATCGCTACTGCATGATTTCAAGTTGTCCAGAACCCGTGAGCTTAACCATTACACAATATATATATATATATATATATATATATATAAATATATATATATATATATATTATGTGTGTGTGTGTGTTTGTGTGTTACTTTGCATCATGACCTCACGTATAAGAACACAAAAACTCGAACTTTTTTAAATTCGTTTAGTTCATATCTCCGTGTAATTGTATTTATGTTCATTACAGCGCGAAAAATCTGAATATGTTCTGTGGAGTTAAGTGTTTTTTAAAATTTACCCTTATACTGGCGAATAAAATACATGTTTATATTAAAATACATATACAAATTTGTAGATTCAGAACAAAAATGTATATATCTTTATTAGAAATTCATCGCAGGTCAGAAATTCAATTGTAATTTTGTGATTTGTATATACTCAGCTAATAACAATGTTTTCAGTAGCAATTGAATATTTCTTCCTTTTTATGCACTATGGATAATAATTTTGTGTAAACTGTACTTTAAAATAAACCATCCTTTACTTTATTTGAATGACGTAATACAGCCTATGACAAACGGCTACCTGAGTTTTCAAAATCAGTTCAGACTTCAAACCTCGCTATGTACAAATAATTCGACAAATATTTTATATAAATAGTTAACTGATGTATAAAATACTATATATAATAGAATTTACCTGTATTTATAATTATGATTATAATTTATCTATTATTACAAGCGCAATAAATAACAATCTTGTTTCAGGATTTGGATACAAGAATAATTATCGGCAGCTTTTCGCACAACGTAGCCCCCAAAATTTTCTGCGAGGTGAGTAGCAAATGAAACTGTCAAACCAATGCATATACATAAATTGTAAATCAATAATTCTTTTCATGATGTATTTATTATCTTGTAGAATCATCCACTTTATTGCTTTCGAAGATTCTTATATTTTCACTTAACAATATATTGGAAGACGGCGCGCCGCATCATTACGGAAGCGAATAGCCGGCAGCCAAACGTGTTTCCGATATTTTATTGAATATAAAAGTCTTTCAAATCGTTTAACAAAGGGAATAGAATTTCTCTTAACTATAATAACAGAGAATCAAGATGTGCATGATTTTATGAATAATTGCTTTCAAGCTATATGTGTGTTAAAACACATTTATGACTAGATGTAGGTGGCAACTTTGCCTTAAAGCAAGTAGCATAATCTATCATATGAGTGTGATAATTGCCCAATCAACCAAAATTAGATTTAGCAACTTATGATGTTTAAATTCTTTTTAAAATTAATTTTTGGTTTTATTAAAAACTAAACATTGCGATTTCCAATTGATATCTCTCAAACATATTTATAATATCTGCGAATTGTAGGGCATAACCACATACCTGTATTTCTTAAAATTGCAGCCCATTATTCTAAATTTATAATTAATTTATATATTTCAACCATTTTTCATAGGACTGTTTTGTGCATTAAGTTTATTGCCCTGTTAAGTTCAATTAAAAAACATTTTTTTTGAAGAAACTTAATAAATTATTTTGTGAAATACTAAATAATTACTATGAGAAAATACTAGCAGGATTGCATATATCATGTGCGTAGTCCTTGATATTATTTAATCATTTAAATTAATGTTAACGTTTTTAATACAACTAGAGAAGTTTTGTAGACTGCTCTTCGGGTTACACAGATATAAAAAATCTATTTAGATAATTAATAATCAATTTCTATGAATAATGCACAAATACAAAACCATTACAAAAAGCAGATTTTTGCTGGCTTTTGAAATTGTGAATTTATTCAGTAAATTTTTCGACAAAACTTTGTCGAAATTCAAATTTTGAATTTAAATTTTTGGAAGCGATTTTGGCTCCAAGCTTTAACTCATATTTTTTCACATTTTGATGCTTTTTCTAATTAAATCACATGGCGTAGAACCGTAAAATTTTAATATATTTAGTATGACCACAATCTATTTGTCGGCAGAATTGGTCCATTAGTCATAACTATAAGTTTATGCAATTTGCTTTAAGTCAAAATTATAATTGCATCTAGTTATGTTAAATATTGTTTTGATCAGTTAAACAATATAATTGCTATTTTGTTTGATTAGAATAGTACGTAAATAAAAAAGTCAGTTAATTATTATAGAAGCGATGGATGTTTTACAAAATAATAACAATAATCCATTAAAATTTCTCAATTATTTTAACAAACACGATTGTGCATTTTGTCCAATATTTGTTATTCACATAAATCTAACCTCATGAGCGTGTTACTGTAGACCTCAATTAGTCCAATTTAACTTAATGTTGAATTTTTCCGCAACAGGCCTATCGGCTGGGCATGTTCGGGGCGGACTACGCATGGTTATTGCAGGGTCCGCTCGAAACGATTTGGTGGAACAATTCCACCGAATGTCCGGATTCCCATTTGGCGGCGGCCGTTGAAAAACTAATCATCGTTTCATCTCACAACAGCATCGTTGGCAGTACCACATCTTATTCGGGATTGGTGAGTTAAATTAATTTACTAGGTACTCATTTCAAACTGCAAATTGCACCAACAATATACGCATTTATAGTGATATATGATCGTTTACCTTCATGGCTTCAGAATGAGAACACAAATATATGAAATTTCTGCTTTGCTATATTTATAATTATAATAAACTAGCGATTGCGTAATTATAAGACTATGGAACACTAGTTATCAAATATATTATATTTTGACTTGAGGTTGTATATCTCAATCATGATAGTGAAAATGGCGTTTCGAGGGCATTGCTGCAACATTATATATATATAGAATAGAATAGAATAGAATAGAACTTTATTAAAATTCAATAGTTACAATTTAAGTCATTTACAATACATAATTATTCTAAAAATTCATTTATAAAATAATAGGGATTATTTAGTAAATAATTTTTAACAATATTTTTAAAGATGAATCTTGTTTTGCATCTCCATCCATCAGGTAGCTTATTATAGATCTTGGCTCCCAATGTAACTCTTCTTCTTCTAGTTTATATATATATATATATATATATATATAAATATATATGACTGTAGTTTTTCAGTTGAACATATGTTGATTAAACAAAATCATTAACAACCATCCATCCTATACGATAATGAGTCGTACCTCATACTTTGATTCAAAATGGTCGAATGATTATTTTCGTTTACTTTTTTCGATATTTGTTTTTATTTTTGCACCAACATGGTTTTTGTGAAGTAATATTTTCTTTTATCGTGTGTTTGTATCTCCATTGGAAAAGTCAAATTGGAACACAAAACGTATAAATCTATTAAATTATAAAGAACATATTTTAGTTTTTTTTCTATATTTTTATCTATGTGGAAGCATGTCGATGAGAATTATGTTTAATCAACATATTTTTCACCATCTATCAAATATTATTACATATTACATATTTAATGTTTTATAAAAGTTGGACTTTCTTCAATTCATAACATTGAGTCATTTACAAAAAATTCATAACTAATAAATATAGTCATAACAACAAATTTATACCATATTTTATATTATAATCACAAAAAATTCAAACTTTATTTTATCATTTCAGTAATGTATAATTATGCTTTTTTACAATACAAACAATAATTAATGTAAATCTTTTTTAATTTATAGATTACACATTTAGAAAAGAGAATTGATATTTTGTCAAGACAAATATAGAATCTTTTTTTTTAATCCACTTATAAATTTTAAGTACGCAAATCAATATTTTTATAATCAACCGAATGAGTATAACAATATTTATTTTATTCAAATATTAATATATCGACTGATTAGACATTATTTGTACCATTTTTATAACAAATTTCCTTTCAGAGCAATATATAATTTTTTGTTGTACATAGGAAACTATACAACAGTACATTCAGCTACTTCACTAAGTCAGAGTAAAATATGATCAGTAAATTTTATAACCAGACTAACTATAACCAGAATTAGTAAACCATTTATAATTATTATTAGCAAATTTGCCACAAATTACTTATTAAAAAATAATATATATATATATATATATATGTTTCTTAATTATAATAACAATTGCTTCATTACTTGAACACTTTTTTTTTAATTTTTATGATTTTCATATTCATCATTTTTCCATCCGTTCCTCATTCAAAAAAGTCTTGAAATATGTGCTGTTTGGGTTTCAATTCTAGTACGTCTGAATAAAAAAAAATGCACAGTTTTGTTAATGAATTACTTGATAGTAATTAAATGAATTACATTTTTGTACCTCGAAATTCCATTTATTTTAACAGGCAAATTGCACAAGCTGTTTTCTTGTTTGTGTATTCGCAAAACAACCTTTGTTCCATTTTTATGGCGAAGGAACTACGTCATGTAATTTCATATGAACACAAATGGTGCTTTGAAAGCATTGTGATGCACTTACTTTGGTGCAAAAACGGCAGAACTAGAATAAAATACGAGAGCATTTTGAAAACGAATTTATATAACGTGACAAGCACCTGAATTTACATTGAATTCATTTCAACTAATGAAAGTGTATCTTATTTTTATTCTAAAACAAACCTTATCTTTCTAATTTCTGAAGTCTTTTCTTGGCCTTGTCAATATGCAAATGAAAAAAGCCAAAATACAATAGCCCTTGCTCATTTTCTCATTCCGGGCGGTGCTCTTGGTTTATGTAGATCTGCTCATTTAACTTTTTAATGCTTTTATAAGGGTTGTTTTGTCAAACTTAATCCGGACTAACTTTTAAACGCATAGCAATTTGATTGTGTTCATTTTGTCAAATGCCTTCGCTCGGAATTTATTATAACTTCAGAAAACGAATTCAATGACTTTGTTTGTTCTTAAATTCGAGCAATGGTAAATTTAAAAGTCAGGCGATAAAAGAATCTGAGGTTATATTTTAAGATGAGATTCAAAGTTATAATAATTTTATAGCATGTTTCTGAAAAGATTTTAGTAGCATTTTTACTTATTTGATCATCATTATATTTGTATTATAAGAATATTTGAGACTGTTATATGTTCACATTATAATAATAAAACGTTATAAAATGAGGGTTACAACAAATACAATAATTTTTACACTTATCCTAAAAAGACAACAAGTAACATTGTATTAAAACATACTTTGGGAATTTGATTTAAAATTTATTTTGACATCTTTCAATATTTTATTTTCAATTTTCAATACTTTATTTAATAAGACGTTTAATTTGGAACCATGAACCTTACAGTTGAATACCACTTGTCCAAATAGGCTTAAGAGTGGCTTTGTTATACTTCAAAATTAAATTATGAGTAATTGTAGAATCATCTATAAGAATATTGGAATATTATAAAAATATAAAATATGACTGTCTAACTTTATTATGAGAGGAGTATTAACCTCTGATTCTGAAATTGGCTGTGATAAAGCTCGATTTCTTTACCGGTTAATGACAAACTTTTCAAACCTTCAGCACGCAAATATGACTATTTGTGGATTAGAAAAGATTGATCAAGCTTTCAAATGTAATCGATTACAATATGGTACAATTATTTGCCCAGAGCCATTATTAAGTCAGTTTGGACATACGGTATTCAATTATGGAGACCAAGCTCCAAATCAAATATCTTAAATATTCAAGGATTTTAAAATAAACTATTAAAAAGGTACGTTTTGAAGGTACGTTCCAAAGTACGTTTTATTACAATTTTACTTGTCCTTTCAGGTGTAAAAATTATTGTATAATAAAAAATAAATACACAAATTGTAATAATTTAGGTCTTAACATATATGCTGATTAAATGTAAATTATATAGGAACTAAATTATTTATTTATTAAGTTATTATCAACAAATATTTATATTTATTTAAAATAACAAATGATTTACTCCGTATCGCAGAAATATCATAATATAATGTTCTCATTCATTTTTAAGCATCACAATATTTTCTTTGTGTTTTCACTTTGCATTTCAACTATAAAATACTTCTATATGAAGTAAATATAATATAGTAATATTATACGCATTCCACCAAATTTTGATAAAACTATGTTCTTTGGTTTTATTTTATTTTCCAGGAAAACCTATTAACCAAATTCTTGCTAACGCAAAACTAACCGTCGTTGATTGAAAAGAAAATCGCCACTTGAATTAATCAATATTGATTCCAGACGTGCATGTGATATTTTAATTTCTTATTATTTATAATAAAATTTTTAGTTCATACTATAATAGTTGAAATACTCTTAATATTATTTATAACAAATTAAAAGTCAACTACCGAGTAGTTCTTAAATAAATAAATTTAGTAAATTTGACTTTAAATAAATAAATTTAGTAAATTATCAAATTTGCTAAATGAACATAACTAGATAGTTGTAAATATTATGTAAATAATAAAAAAAAATCTACTATTTCAGACAAATGCAAAGTTCCGATCAGAGCTCGGGTCTCCTGCCTCGCGATATGCCCCTCAAGCCTACGACGCTGTTTGGGCGATCGCCTTGGCCTTGCGTGCGGCTGAGGAATCTTGGGCCGCCGAAGAACAGGATAATGTTACCAGGGCCAAATTAGGATTAAGTGTATTCGACTATACTCGTAAGGATATGGCTAAGGAGTTTCTTATGCAATTGGGGAGATTGAACTTTATGGGAGTTTCGGTGAGTCATAAAAAATTATGCATATTTGTATATATATATATATATATATATATATATACACTAGACGACCCGACAGGACCCGTTGTCCTGTACCCACGTCTACAATTTTTTAATATAATATACTAATATTTATCGTTCACCTAAAAATAATAATTATTGTTTTTAAATAGCTCTTCACGCCAAAATGCATATACATTTATAATATGTGCGATTTTAAATGTAGAACTGCTTTAAATAAAATGATGAGTCTCAATTCCCACTATAACCATAACATAATACTGGTATTTTATGTTGGATTAAATTAATTTAATATTTTATTATTTATGATATCCAAAATTGCATCTTAAACTTCTCCTAATCGATATCGTGAGGGCCGAATTGTATGTATTCATCTTTACTTTCCCATTTGTTGTTATAAAGTAATTTTTTTACGAATTTTAAAAATATTGTGGAAAGATTATTGAAAGATGCAAGAAATTATATAATGAAAAAAAACTATATTGAAAATTTAATATCCGAATCTTGTGTTAGCGCCCCCTAAGGCGTGCGCTCGTATTTTTCGCATGCATCGCATTAAAGTTAGGACCGGCCCTGAGTAATACTTAATTTCATATTTTTAAGTGAATTAATTTGTCATATCCTGTTCATATGTGTATCATTCAATCTGCCATACATATACTGTATTTTATATTATTTGAATTTCTGGCACATCTCAGCTACTTTTGGCAATAATAATGTAGACATTTCATTTTTCTTATTCATATTCATAAATTTATTATACATATTCAAAATTCATAAGTAAATTCATAAGTGAATTGAAATTTTTGGCAGATGATAGTTTTCATTTGTTTTCAATGCAAACAATGACATGTCGTTTTTTCATTCATTTCTACCAGTGCCAGTACTTAATAATCACATACATCCTAGAAAATTTCCTCAACAAACTTCAGAAAGATTTATCAAAATCCGAATAATCGTTTAGAAGGAGTATACAGTGAGTGCTTGTAATTTAATATGAACTTTGTACAATAGCAATAAAGAACAAATTGATTCTACGTTTTAGTTAGAAAACATTTGTATGTGAAAAAGAAAAGCGCTATTTTTAAGGTTTTGTCGGCAATGATTCGATTTTTTCTCGCCGTAAGAACCATTCTTGGACTTCAACGAACATTTTAAAAAAAAAATTGGCCAAATTGGTTTAAGCGTTGTTGAGGTATGCGTTTACCAACACATTTTGCGATTCATTTTTATCTATAAGATATATACGAAGAAATATTATAATTGATTATACAAATATATAGATAAACGTGAACTCACCACGTTATTTTTTTAAAAAAAATACATATGATATCTTACTAAACCCCCCCTCCTCTCCTCGGTGATTTGTTATGATGTTTTGTCAATCCTCCCCCTCCCCCTTTGAAGCGCACGTGATTTAAACCTCATTCATAATCTCAATAAAAACTACTATATTTTGCATACACTATCCATTTCAGCAATATTCATTTTCTTTACAAAAATAAGAACAAGAATATGATTCAATCATTTTTATTCAACAAAGAAACCTTACAGGTTAAATTAAGGCAAAAACAAGCCTTTATAATGATAAATTACATAAGATAAGCAAACTCTTTCTCATTCTTTCCATGAAAGATTAGCTTCATAAAACCGAATGACCAATTGCGGAATTTTCACCTTTGCTTGTTCGGAGGTGACCAAATCAGCCTCTTCTACATCTTTCCATTTTAAAAGATACATCAAGGTGTCTCCGGATTTAGAAACTCCTATAACCTTCTCGGGCACCCTCTTCGAAGGCCCGGGGGCTTTAGAATCCGACATTTCTACCGGAGTCTTGTTTTGGTCTTCAGCTTTGGACAGTTCCTCTTCGTAGGACTTAATTAATTCGGGGCACAATAAGTTCTCTTTGGGCTCCCAACTATTGTATTTGTTCGCATAGTTTTCCCATTTTATTAGATATTGAGTCTTACCGTTTACAATGCGTCTTTTCACTATTTTTTCAACCATATAAACATTTGCGCCGGGTTTTGTTTTCGACGTTTTCATCATTTTGAGGTTAGGTAACTGTCAAAAGGAGCACTCAACAAATGTAAATTAATTTACAAATTAATTCACAGGGTGAATTTTTGTTCGTAAATTCAATATTAATTTACCGAAAATATATATTTAGCAAATTATTTGTTTTCTTGGCGCTTGTTCGACGTTTCAAGACGTGTTAAAAATTTTTGCACATTTATCACTATGCGGTTTTTAAACAATTATGTTGGTCAATCTGAATTTAAGAAATAATCAATAATGCTCAATCTTATGTTTCTATCATAGATCTTAACATATGTATACGGTCTGTGGTTTCTATGCATTGTGAAAAAAATTTTTGTTCCGCATTTCTTTTGACTGACATCAAAATTTATTCACTTAACTTCATTAAGTAATTTAGTATATGTACAACAGATTATACACAAAATAACATAAATATCAATATATGCTAAATTTAAAAATTTACATTAAAAGCACTGTAATAAAATATTGTAATAAACTGAGAGTTTGACTAAATAAAACTGTAATAAAATGATGGATCATTCAAAAAAAAATTATAAAATGTTACATGTGATATGATCTTTATCTTAATTAGTGATTGATTTTGTAAACTAGTTAAGAGTAGCATTATGCCTTAAAGCAAATTGCAATAACTTTCTGATACATATACATAATGAACAATCAATAAGAATTGAGATTCAGGTATTTAGGAAAAATTAGTTTAAATGTTTAATTCGAAAATATTACGCTTTTATTAAAAACGATTTCAATTGATTTCATTTAAACATATTTTATCATCTGTAATTGTATAAATTAAATCAATTTATTTAACACATTTTATTTAATTCTTTTTTCGAGAATGTATTTTATTTAAGTGTGGACGTAAACTGTGATCAGTAGCTACTAACGAAGCAGCGCGGAACGCTCACCGCTTAGGGGGTGGGGGATAAATTTCAATATCACCACGTATCACCAAGGGGGAAGGAGGGGTCCAAAAATCATTAAAATCGATCACTTGATTATTGGACTCTCTTAGAAACGCTCGAGTTCGCGACAAAATTCTCGACTTTCATGATTTTTCATAATTCAACCGCTTACCGTAGGCTTATAATATTTTAGTATGTTACTTCAGATTATGAAATCTATCGTTGTACAAAGTTTGAACAAAATTATAAACTAGTTGGTTTGGTATTTAGCCTTGAGGCAAGTTACATGAACTTCCCGATATGTGTAAATAATTGACTTAATCAAAAAAAATGTAAATAATATACTTCATCAATCCTACTTTAAAAAACGATAATAATTTTAGTAAAGTTTGACGAATTTTTAAAATTAAACTACTTGTCGTAATGCCGTAATATTACAGTAAGTTCTATAAGACCATGATGTATATCGCCAAAAAAAAGTTCCATGAAAATCGGCTTAAATTTTTTTTTCAACAGTTCATTACAAGAAAACGGCTCGGAAGATTTTCACCTAAAATTAATCAGTACCATTCCCAACTAATATCTTTCGAACAGTTTTTGATTTTTTAAAATCGGTTCGGTAGGATGAGCTTAAATGTGGACGAAAATTTAACACTTTTTTTCAACAGTTAATTACAAGAAAACGGCTCGGTAGATTTTCACCTAAAATTAATCAGTACCATTCCCAACTAATATCTTTTGAACAGTTTTTGATTTTTTAAAATCGGTTCGGTAGGATGAGCTTAAATAAGGACGAAAATTTAACACTTTTTTTCAACAGTTAATTACAAGAAAACGGCTCGGTAGATTTTCACCTAAAATTAATCAGTACCATTCCCAACTAATATCTTTCGAACAGTTTTTGATTTTTTAAAATCGGTTCGGTAGGATGAGCTTAAATATGGACGAAAAGTTTAACACTTTTTTTTAAATTGCAAAGAAACGGCTTTGGCAGATCGTCGCACAAAACTGACAAACGATAGTCCTCACCGAAATACATCAAATGGCTTTTAAATTTCTGCAATCGGTTCAGGCGCTTTTGAGAAAACGTCGATCAAAAGTCTAATTTTAACAAATGTCAAAAAAACTATACCAATTTTTGCAAACTTTGACGAATTTTTAAAGCTAAACGAGTTGTCGTAGGGCCGTAATATTTTAGTATGACCTAGAAAACTATGGTATCTACCGTCAAAAAAAAAATCATAAAAATCGTCGAATTTTTTTTTTTAAAACGTTATTACAAGAAAACGGCTCGGCCGATCTTTACCAAAAACTAATCAGCACGATTCCCAACCAATATCTATCGAATGGTTTTTGAATTTTCAGAATCTAGAATTGCGGGCTAAAAGGTGGGCGAAAATTTTTTCACTTTTCTGCAATTTACAACGAAACGGCCCGGCCGATCGCCGCACAAAACTCAGACGATAGTCCTCATCGAGATACATCGAATGGCTTTTAAATTTTTAAAATCGGTCCAGTCATTTTTGAGAAAACGTCGATTTACGGCAAAAAATCTGTTCACATACACACACACACACACACATACACACACACACACATACTTTTTCCAAATTTGGTCTCATTCGATTCAGAATGGCTTGAAACGTCGAGAAAACATAAAATTAGCGAATCGGATTTTTTGATGAAAACATAAACTTCTCCTTCGGGAAGTTAATAAATGACCTAAATTAGTCAAAATCTAATCAACGTTGGCAAAAGGTCAAAAATCCGCCCACATACATTCACACATATATTTTTTCTAAATTTGATCGCATACGATTCAGAATGACTTGAAACGTCCAGAATTCATAAACATAGCAAATCGGATTTTTTGCGAAAATATAAATTTTTTCAAAAAATTATTAAATCATGAGATTTACTTCTAAATTCAGTACGACATCGTCATCTTGTTTCGATTACTTGTTATGACCCGCTTGGTAACGGCTTGAAATAATTTATAATCCTGATCACGGTTGGGTG